TTTTTTATCAGGTAAATTAAAAAAAGACCCATATTTCTCTTAATTTTTTAAATTTTGATCATCGATAATTTCTACAATTTCAAAATATGGAGTACTATCTAAAATTAAATCTATTTTTCAATAAACTGATACCTCATTTATTGCAATCGCATAAAAATTGTCGAATTTAGGCGACTTTTCTTAAATACGGCCTTGATATGTGTGTATGTACCGGAATTTCAGATTTTTTGAGCAGTGTGGTTAAAGAGTTCATCAGTATTTATTAAAATTTATCATATACCATCGCTATTTAGCAAAAAAGTGGGTTTTCAAGAAACTTTACGAAAATGGGGGTGGCACCGCCCACTTATATGATATATACGTATCTCAAAAACTACTCGACCGATCCCGGCCAAGCTTGGTACACACATTGTGATTGCCCTCCTTAAGTACCGTCTTGAATATTTTTGAAATCGGACAAAACCTACTACAAAAAAATTTAGCTAACTTTGAGTTTTTTGAAATTATCAAAACGTTGATGGAGCCCGTGGTTTTAGCCCGATTTAAAAATTTTCAATATGGCTCCTAAGAAGCCTAAGCGCAATGTCTTTACCAAATTTAGTTGAGATCGGTTGAGTAGTTTTTGAGATACGCATATATCATATAAGTGGGCGGTGCCACCCCCATCTTCCTAAAATTTCTTGAAAAACCACTTTTTTGCTGAAGTCTGATTGTATATATCAATTTTGAATAAACATTTATGAACTCCATAGCCACACTGATCAAAAAATCTGAAACTCTGGTTCATACACACATATAAATTCAAGGCCGTATTTAAGAAAAGTTGCCTAAATTTGACTATTTTTATGCGATTGCAATAAGTGAGGTATCAGTTTATTTGAAAATAGATTTAATTTCATATAGTACTCCATATTTTGAAATTGTAGGATTTATCGATGGTCAAAATTTAAAAAGTTAAGAGAAATATGGGTCTATTTTAATTACCCGATAAAAAATCCTAACAAGCCTAGTCCTACAATATATTATTTATTATACACCATTTTAAAGGCCTATATATCCTCTTCTCACATCACACTCGATCTTTGAAATCGAAACAAAAATATTATTGAAAAACTGGTAAATCTAAAAAATTTTATTTTCTGACCTTACTCGACAGGTCGCGTCCTCTAAATGACCTTTAAAAAATCTATAAAAATAGGCAATAATATTTCTTATAAAAACGAATAAAAAAAAGCATTTTCGATGGGCACCCCAATATACATATTTCAATTAGCTGATGAATTAAGTTGAATTTGTTTTTTTTTTTGTTAACACGTGGCAGCCTTCCTACATAATTTAGCAATATAGCCCTTCCAAACCCATTTGGATTTATATACATATTTTAGAAACTCATTTAACTTACTAAGTAATTTGAACGGATGGCAACCTCTTCAAGAACCTTACAAATATTCTAAATTTTCAAAACAGAGATTTCTTAGCATTCTTTCGTTTGAGACCCATATTTTGATATATTAAATAACTTGTGTACAATTTAATAAAATAAAAATATGTTCAAACTAAAGCCGTTCTTCGTCGGATACCCATATTGTGATACATATTTCCATTACTTAATTTTCTTAAATCTAGTTGGAGCGTTTAAAATTAAGATTTTGCTGCATATATTTATGCGCAGTTATAGCGATTGATATTGAAATCGTGCATATGGGTGCATTCCAAAACGTCAAAATACAAAGCATCATTCTCTTTTATTACCGAACCGCACTAGAAGAAAAAGTCTAACTTGCGCAACCTAGGTGAAAACTAGCATCTAACTGTGGTTGCGTACATTTGGCATTCCAAGCTGCTGAGGTTTAGAAATAAAAGAGACTGATGCTTTGTATTTTGACGTTTTGGAAAGCAGCCTATCTTTTCACGTTCCGCCTGCGAATTTTAAAAGACCTTCCGGATAAGAAACCAATACATGGCATGGGTTTCGCGGGCCCCGCGCCCATCTCGAATACCTAACTACAAACATATACATATATTCTCATTATCATTTTTGGTGTTTCCGACAGGGCAGGAGTATGATGTATTGTGGACCGATTTGTCAAAGTTGGTTTGTAGACAAACCGGTTTCGCCGTTGTGCCATCTTTCTTCAGAATATCCTGGAATTATAAAGTTATTTACATTCCTTGCCATTCTCTAATATCTGTGGTAGTTGCAGAAATTCTGTCATGTTTTGCATATATCAGATGCGGAGTGAATCCGTTAAGACGTACCTGCCTAAGAACCAACGATCATTACCACGGCTATAAATCAGGGACCGTAACTGTTACAATTATTTTTTCGACTTTTATTTAATTACTCCTTAAATAACCATTATTTCTGACTTTTATTTTATAAATACCCATATAACAATTATTATGAGCCGATAGCCATAGCAGCTAGTGCTCAGCCCCTTCCCCTTTAGTCTTAAAATTAATTTTTAATTATAAATAAATAATAATAATAATAACAATTATTATTGATTTTTATCTAAATTATCTGCAAATAACAGTTATCTTTGATTTTTAAATTATATGTCTTAGATAACAGTTATCGAAGACTATTATTTATAATAGTCATGAAGAAAAAACAGTCACTGAACTTTATTTTTTAAATCATACTTATAAAAGTCATTTGTATAAGTCGTAGTAAACTTTTGTTTCCCAACACTTCTTAACTGCGAAAAATATTAATGACTTTGGTACGAATGATTTAAAAAATAAAAGTCGGTGACTGATTTATATTGATGAGTTTTAAAAGTAAAAGTTACTGACTGATTTTTGTTGATGACTTTTATAAATAAAAGTCTTCAATAACTGTTATCTAAGACATATAATATAAAAATCAAAAATAATTGTTTTTTTGTGATTTATAATATAAAAATCAATAATAATAATTTTTTTTAATTTTGCATAAAAATTGCAAATAAAAATTTATTTTCAAATTTCAGTCTCGGTGAAAAAAGAAATCGATTGGTATGTATCACTTAGTTGTAGAACATTTCCTTCATAGTGAGTTTTTCCATGACAGTTTTCATCAATAACTCTTATGTTCGGTCCCTGCTATAAATAGTGACTCACAAGCAAAAACTATTCTGAACGCAAAACGACACTGAAGGTGCACCACGCCGAAATCGAATTTGAAAAGGGATGACGGAAAAACGCTCCACAATGCATCATATATGTACATGTATGTTGTTTAATGAAATGGCATACATTTGGCATACATATGATTCTCTTTTAAGTAGGCTTTAGCGTATAATCCAAATACTTTTATTTAGTATTTATTTACAAGTTTTAGTGAAAAAAATCGTTTCATACCCTTGAAATAAAAATTTTTTCAACTTTTTTCAAACAGGTATTTATACGTGTATAGCTCGAAATATAAATGGCAACACAGCAGTACAAGCAAACGTTACAATTGATGATAAGAGACCAATACCACGACTAAGCATAGAACCTTTTGATTTGGATGTTGTCACTGGAACAATTTTTGAAATGCCTTGCAAAGTGGAAGATAATACCAGCGTACAGGTAAATGGCGATTTGTATGAGCATAATGGAGCTCAATAAGGAGTGTCTAATCAAAAGTTGATTTTTCGCTTCCGACAAATTTTTTATTTATTTTTATTCTCATCAAGATGATATATCAAGAAAATTTGTTATTTCAGTTCAAAATATCTTTTATCTTTGCAATCCGAGAAAATCATATTTCCATAAATGTAGGGTTTGTGTATTTTCGGTTTTTGCTCTTCCTGTAAAATAATGTATTGGGAATATATCATATTTTGATTAGACCCGCCTCGTATGTACATATGTGTATCATAGATCGTGGTCTTTATTTCGTAAGCGAAGGTCGTCAATATTAGAGGGGGTTAACGGACGCTGCCGACTTTAGAGAGCCCTTAATCCGAATAAGTCATCGCACTTCGCACATGGGTCGCTAATGTCCCCCCAGAGTGTGCGAACGAGTGTACAAGAGTCGGGACTATGTGCATATGTAGTAAGTATATCCATGTAACTGCAACTGCTTACCCAGAATAAAGACTATACCTAACGCTCGTATCTATACTTTTTTGCAGTGTAATACTTTTTTTATTCCAAAAATGGATACTAAATTTTTTAAAACGACAGACGCTCTACCAACCGACTTCGACTACGACGAGATAGATAGAATTGAAAAAAATTTTGAATTAGAGGAATATTCTGATGCAGTGGCATAGCCAGGGGGGATTTGGGGGATAGATCCCCCCCTTCCCCAGTGAAATGCAACTTTTTATTTTTGAATTAATAACACAATACTATTTTACCCTTCCGATTTATAATTTTTTTATTTCAGACAGATGACAAATTATCTTTTAATGAATATATAAAATTATCGGTTGGTGGATTATGTATTTGAATATATGCGAAATACACTAGGCCATTTTGCTTAGTTCCCCACAGTGTTGGGAAATAATCTATAATCTATACAAAAACTGTACTTTTCGACTGTAAATTGTATCGACTTTTTAATTTGCTCATATGCATGCATGCATACATAGATTCCCTTCAAGGCCAATGCTTTGATGGTATTCACGGGAAAGTTTATGTAGGTACATTTACATATTTTGCACTTTTAAGATGTCAAGGCAGATATTTTAAGATACACTTCTTAACAAACAAATTTTTTTAAGTTATTATGAATGGATAAAAGAGACATCTTCTTTGAATTCAGTACTAAAACTTGACATTTCAAGTGCTTATCAAAACTTTATACATGTTAACTAGATTGGCCATTTATCTTAAAATTATATAATTTTAATTATTTGTTTATACAAATGCAGTTTAACAAAACCCGTATGAATCCAAGGTTTAATCTTTGCGCAACATTAACAAAATCAACAAACTTTCGTAAAGCTTTTTATTTAGATTTGATATAAATACATATTTTGAGTATGCATTTTTGTAGCCCGATCAATTCAAATAAAGCGCAAGTTTAAAATACATAGCTGCGACTTATCGTTGATTTTTAATATATTTTTTTTTTGATGAAGGCGTTGCTAATTTTCTTCATTAAAAAAATCGACGAACATACTTAGTTAAACTGGAAGAAAATTACCGACATCGTCAAAAATATGCCATACATCAACTGTAAATCACAGGTACTTTAAATTTGCACGTTATTAGACTAAAATTGAATGAGCTAAAAAACTGCAAAATATTAAGAGATTAAATTGAAATAGAAATTTCGAAATTTTTACGAAAGTTTGTCGATATTTTTTAATGTTGTTCAAAGATTAAACTTATTTTCATTTAGTGTTTGTTAAGGAATAATCTATATTTTTATAAACAAATAATTCAAATTAAAATATAATAAAATAAATAGTCAAATCTAGTCAATATGTGAGTGTCGTAAAGTTATGATATTTAAGAACATCTCTTTCTTAATTAACGATGACACTGTTTCTATATGAAGCTGATTTTTACATTTTGTTTTAATAAAATTTAGTATCGAAAATATTCTTTCAAAACTTGCATAGGAATGTGATATAATGGTTTGTTCAAAACCTTTTTTCAAAACTTATAAAGGCAAAAACGAGAAGGCGAAGACAAAAAGAGAATAAAAAAATTTCCCGAAGTGAATTTTCAGATTTTTAAAACGGTATAGTAATTTAATTTTTTAAATTTAAATAAAGCATGAATACCCCATGGAATAAGCGAATAGATAAAAAATATAGGTCTGCAATTCATATCCATGCACATATATATATGTATGTATATATGTGTGTATCTATATGCATGTATTTACTGAACAGTAGCGCAGAATGAGCAAAAATTTCTGAATTCGTCACTTTAGATATACATAGATTTCTAGTGAAAAAACTGAAAAACAATTGTTTTTTAAAAGTACCACTTTTCGCCGATTTTGGACTGGTGAGGATCTAGTTACTAGCGGACTAGTAGGTTTTTCGCGATAAAGACCTAGTACAGAACTAGAAATTTGATTCACTAGTCCGCGGTTTCCCTGCAGGATGGAAAGACTTTTCTATTACTTCTACTACTGACGACAATGCATATGTATATGTATACGTGCAATTATAGCGTAATTTCTTAGAAAAGCGAAAAAACATCTTGCATACAACGCCCAAAAAAGTTTTCAGGATTAGCTGTTGTGAGTGATCGCGAATGGAGCACCCGCATTGTTTATCTCATTTATGTAGGTGCACACCCAAAACTCTTACAAAATAAAATTTTATGAAAAACGTACGTATTTACGAAATATCTGGTATTCAGGGAAATCGCAACTAAACCACCCAACTCCGCACTTAGCGAAATGCAGTTTGAAGAAAAATTCACTACCTTCTACAACTCTAAAATGAACGAAATCATGTGCTCTATTTCCGTAAATATTTCTAAAGCATTCTAATTATTAGTGGAAAATAAACAAAAAGGTAGGTAGAAAGCTGCTGCAATATTGTATCGACATACATACATACTCCAGCCTAAAAGGCTCACAAGTAAATTTTTTCGTCTTTCCAAGGTCGTAGTAAAACCAAAGCTTAGCTATTATTTGATTATTGCTGCAAAACTTTTGCTCATTCTGCGCTACTGTTCAGTAAATAACTATGCACTTATATAAGTACATGCATATAGATACATATGCTGAAAACAGTTAAAAGCAGTGCTGACTTAAATAAGCTTGGCAAGCAAGTCAAAAGAGTATGCAAAACTGCCAAAGGAGAAATGCTGCTCGAACTCAATCATGTACACGAGGAAAATACAGAACTTTTTAAGAAGGGCGTGCAAAATCTGCTGGGAAATGAAGCGGAAATAAAAGCTCTATCCAAGGTAACCTCGATAGAGATACATGATCTAGATGAGATCACCACAAAAGAAGATATAGCTAAGGCTATATCTGAAACAATAACGTCGATTCAAACCTTCGACTTAACCTGGATCAAATCTCTCCGTAACGGATACTCAGGAGCTCAAATAGCTTCGCTTTCGCTACCACAGCTCGTTGCGAAAAAGATTATAGTAGCTCAGAAAATTAAGATTGGGTGGTCAGTATGTCGCATTCGTGAAAAGACGACACTGACCAGGTGTTACAGATGCCTGGATTTTGGTCATCAAGCGAGAGACTGCACAAATGAAGACCGCAGTGGTTGCTGTTTTAAGTGCGGCGAGAAAGGCCATAATGGCAAGCAATGCAACAGTGTACCCTCATGCGTGCTGTGTAAACAAGTGGGCAGATAAATAAAAGCCATATTGCTGGTGGCAAGCAGTGTCCATTCTTTCAGCGTGCGTTAAAAAAAAAGAGCAAAGATATGAAGTTGCTGCAGCTAAACTTAAACCACTACGAAGCTGCCCTGCAGCCGCTCTGTCAGGCAATTATTGAGGAAAGCATTGATGTAGCAATTCTAAGTGAACAGTACAAGAAACTTAACCAAGGTACTTGGATCTCTGATCGTAAAAAGAAGGCCGCGATATGGGTTTGCGGAAAAAAAGGCATTAGTGGCAAACCTAGCAGTCATGAGTTTTTTGTTAAAGCAAAGATCGACGGGATCTATATTTACAGCTGCTTAACACCACCGAGCCTCAGTCAGCAGGAATTTGAATTGTTACTAGACAGACTTGTGCAAGATGCTACGATGTATTCTCCAAAAGTAATAACTGGAGATTTCAATGCTTGGGCTTTAGAATGGGGCAGCAGTAGAACAAATGATCGGGGTCATGCCTTGCTAAGAGCATTTGCTTCACTGGACCTGCTTCTGTTGAATACAGGCAACAGAAACACATTTGAGAAAAACGGCAGAGGCTCCATTATTGACTTAGCTTTCTGTAGTCAATCGCTGGCAACAAAAACCACGTGGAAGTTAAGCGATAGGTATACGCACAGCGACCACTTATCTATAATAATTGAAATAAAAAGTACAATTAGAGTGTCTCGTCAAAACGTCCAAAGTGATGTAAGTAGTTGGTGCAGAAAATCATTTGATATAAATATGTTTAAATTAGTAATTAGCGAAATAAGCACCGTTATGAATATGCGGGGGAATGCAGAAATCCTCTCAAAAGCCCTCACTCAAGGTCTTATCAAGGCATGCGATTCTTCTATGAGTAGAAAGGTCCGCAGAAACGACCGGAGACCCGTATACTGGTGGACGGTTGAAATAGCGTCGTTACGGTCACAATGCAATACAGCTAGAAGAAAATTCCAAAGAATAAGGTCGTATGAACTAAGGAATAGTTTTAAATCATTGCGAAGGAAATTAAAAGATGCTATAAAAACTAGCAAAAGAGATTGTTTAAGGAGCTTTGTAATGAAATTGATGAGTATCCTTGGGGCGGCGCCTATAAAGTGGTAATGAAAAAGTTCAAAGCAAGCCAAATGCAGATGCCAACATGCCCGACGTTGCTTAAAGAAGTAGTAGAGACTCTTTCCGCGGACGGATCCCCAACCGTTACCAGCGTCAATAGATGCTATGGCAAATGCCTTTGTTCCTCCTGTAAAGAAGGAAATTGAAAGTGCGGCCAAACGATTAAAAAAC